GGGCCAGAACGCGGAAGGAAGGAGACTGAGTAATCCCAGTCCGTGGTCGCCAGTCCTCTGTGTCCTCAATAAGTCTCTTTTTACTGGCGTCGCTGGGGAAGAAAGCCGGCAGGCTCACCAGCCGCAGAGAGTGCCTACAAACAGACCAGGGCACTCAGCCAGAACTGCACTGAAAACAGCAGTTGCCAGGCATGCATTGCACCCAAACGCACAAACACATACACATACACATATACACAGCAATGAATCAAGACATGGCCACTCTAAAGGGCCAGATAAATAACCTGTCCTTCAGTAGTAATAATGGGATCCTGAAGCTCACCCTATCAGTCCCTTGTCTACAATGGTTAATTTTCTGTAGCTAAAGAAATACATCAACTAGAACTGCAGATGGCTGACAGTCCTGAGAGTCACAATCTTAACAGATCTGGAGGGTGAAGGCTATGAAGGCTGCTTAATATCCTTCCTACTTGCTGGGAGGGAGACTAGGCGGACCAGACTCTGGGAGGAAATAGGAAACCATCCTATTTGCACTTCCTTCAAGCAGAAGGGAAGCTTTACTATCAGGGGACTAATCAGGGGGCTGATCATCTGGCTGGGGAGGGCTAGGGAGCTGGGGTGTCACTGTTAGCATCAGTGACAAATTAGTTTCTAAGAGCTGTTTGGCAGTGAATATAGATGGCATCTGAGGAGCCACACACAACACGACCAGAAAGCCTTGGGCCTATCATCCCTGATATAAACCTGCGGCCATTTTCTCACCTCTTGATAGTGTAGGATTGTACTGCTACCGAATATGAAGGATCTGATTAGGGAATATAAGGGATAGCTGTGAAGTGAACTGTTCTAGGTCCTTTCTGCATCAGTCTTCAGCCCTTTCTGTGGCTGCTTGAAAAGCAAGCACTTTAAACATACGAGTGTCTGCCTATACAGCTCTTATTGTGAGCTACAACTCATTTTGTTCTGTCCAGACTCGTTGTTAAACATCAGCAAAGTTCAGACCTTATTTTTTTTCCCCCCCAAGCCAATCAATGCATGGAAATCCTTCTGCAGGCCGGAGCAAGGTTTGAAAATATGTGCCAGAACAGGCAGCAGATTGTAAGAAATTCCTTCAAAAATCCTGAGAAGCAAAGAAAGACTATTCGTGTGGGGAGTGGGAGGTCTGTGTGTGTGAGTGTGAGGTATATGTGGGTGTGTCCTAGCAACCCCACTCTACAGAAAGGCTACAAAAAAACAGTGCTTCCTACCCTGAACGCCACCAAAAACCTTCTGGTTGTCCATTATAATCACAACAGAAGCCATTTGCAATTGTAAATTGCAATCTGGCTGGGGAGAGGGAGGGAGGATGCTTCACAGCCTTTAGGGCCTGGCTGAGGGGGACTACAAACCCAAGGACATGCAAAGCATCAGAGAAAACTGGATTATCAAAGAAAGCATGAACTCTTCAATCCTCGCCTAAAGAATGGCCCAAGAGAGAGGTACCTGGAAATGTCTGATCCCACAAAGGAATCACCTTAAGAGGGAAAAACTGGATTTCCCCCCCCCCCCCAAGGACTGGAACAACCAACAGTTAAACTGTAATCAGGAGTTAAATATGAACTGCTTCATGCGATGGTATGTTGATTCTGAGTTAACAAAGCACAGAGTTTGTTAACAGACTACTCCGGTGCTGTTAGATTAGGCAGCCAGAGGGCTAGCTGGACTAATGTCTGACTTTGTGAGAGACAGGCCTTAAATCATGAACTTTTGTGTCTTACAGTGGCCTAGTTTACCAGGTGATGCTCTAATATACCCCTTTAACCAGAGGTTTAAAAAAAAAAAAAAGACTTGAATTGTATCCATGGGTGTCTCAGAGATTGTTCCCCATAACTTTTGGGAGGAACATTTGCAAGCTATGAGGCAAGAACATCTACATGCAATACAAACATTACTGACATTGCCATCCTAGCCCCGAACCCTGTTCCCAAATCTTACTGGTCCTCCAGGTAGTAATCTCCATAATCAGGTGGGGGGTGATTTGGGGACACAGCCTTTACTTCAGGTGGGTGAACAGTCACACTGAGGACAGGAGCAGCAAAGGATAAGAGAAAGCGAAGTACCAGTCAGGTAAGAAATATTATTCCCTCCCAACATAGCTAGAACATTTACATCTCTGCTGCTCACAGGGGAGCAGTTAATGTCCCCAGAGATATCTGCAGCTTCACTGGGAAGAAGAGAAGCCACAAGCTCCCTGCCAAATTTAGCACCAATTCCTCACCCTTATCTAGGTCAGGCAGTCACAGTTATAGATGTATGTAGACTAGGAAGAGCTGCACCAGACTGCTGTTTTAGCCGCAGACAGAAGCACCAAAATCTTCTTTTAGAAATCAAATCTTTTTGGCAACCTTGACCTCAGAGTAACTTCCGTGGCTTCTTGCCATATAAAGAGATCTTTTCACTTCCACTTATTTCCAGGAAAATGGAAAAAATGGGACTTCAAAGGGGTTCCAGTATGACTCAAGAGGATTTGGTCAAGAAAGTACAAGTAAATTTTGCTTTTCTTGTTTAGGTAAAAACAGCTCTTCCCATCTAAGCCTGTTGTGGGCTTTGAAACTTTCTGATGTCATCTCCCCCCCCCCAATCAAAACAAACTTAAGATTTCTTTAGGAAAGGATAATTTCCCACTCCTGTCACAACCGTGCCCCTCTAAAGTGGGGCGAGATGGGAAATGAGAAACCCGACATGGAAAACATCATGCAAATTAGCAAAAAAAAAAAAAAAAAAGACTACAGAGAAGACCAAAAGCTTACTGACTTGTCAGGATTCTGTGCCTGCAGGAGGGAAAAAGAAGGAAAGAGAAAAAAGACAGGAAAAGCAGACAGATTAGAATCAAAGGCAGAGAAAACAATGCTCCCCCCATTTCTCTTTTGGGTAAGAGACAGGTGGTCTTCAATCAGAGAGAATCCACAAGGGAGTCAAAGCAGCAGAATGGCAGGCACAATGATGGCTGAAGCCCAGCCCCTTTTAAACATGCACTGCAGGCAGGTAAAAAGGAGTAAGGCTGTGATCACCCAGTCACACCCACCATTTTGATGCCGTTCCATTTTGATGCCGTTCACACCCCTTCCATCCCTGGATCCCCCTACTTTTGTTACCTCTAGCATGACACCCCTCTTAATCGGGAATACCAGGAAGTGAAACCTCAGCATATTTGGAGGGCACCAATTTGAGAAAGAGTACATTAAATCATGACAGGTGTAATCACAGGAAACGACAATGCTGGCTAAGGATGTTGTACGGTGCAATCCCAAGCAAAATCTAGGACAAAAGTCTCCCATCCAAAGAAGAAAATGCTTACTATGTAAAAACTCTCATCTCCAAGCAAGTTAAGAACAGTCCTCCATAGTTATATTTACATGCAAGTGACAGAAAGTTTATAGAAGCCCTTTGCTGAAAACTACAAAGAAAGATCTGATGAGTTCACAGTGAGTCTTCACAACTCCTTTTGTACTATAAATTGTTGCACAGAAAACTTTTCCTTGCTAAATAAATAAAGTTATACTGAAGCAACTAAAAATATACAGCACTGGTATATACATTCTATTTCTATTGCTACTCTCACTGTTCCACCAGTACCACTTATTAGTTTAAATAAATAAAGTAAGAACCAGCTGAATGCACCAAGTTAGAGGAGCTCAACTAAAGCATCATTATTTTCAGCAACAAAGACTGTCAAGAACTTGCATGCAGTTAAGCACTTAGGGCCATCTTCCACACATGAGCAGCTCATCTTGGCAGAAAAAGCAGGCTAATGTTGCTGATTCCAAACATATTCTTTTCCCCTCTCCTTTTCCGAAGCTTATTAATTTTACTGAATTAATCCCCATCCATCCGGCATCCTTTCCACCAGTTGTACCCTTCAGGCTTCGTTTTTCTGCATTAACTGAACAGCTTGTTTCTCTAGTCTCGTGACCTGCTCTGGTCAAAATTTGCAAAGCTAACAAGAAGAACCTAAAATTTCACAGAAGGGAAAGTGAAAAATAAAAAAGGCAACAACCCGAAAGATTTTTTTTTTTAAATCCCAACTTTTCCCATTTGCGGTAAAGATAGAACTACCAGTTTAATGTTGGGACAATGAGATGCCACAGAATCTTGTATTTTATGTACATTTCCTTTGTAAGGTGTATTTTTCATTTTAACATTTTTCTTCATAAATTAGAAATCTTAGTTTAAAAGAATGGCATTTTTGTTCTTCATTCATAGGAAAACATCTTGGCATCTCAAATCTGTTTCTTGGTGTCTTCTCTGAAATGTGCAGCTTTAGGCTGAATAGCACTATACTTCAGATCTCTATTTTTCTGAGCCTGTCTTTCAGATTGAGAAATATTTACCCTGCAACCAGGGAGTGTGTGAGGGTGGAGAATTTCAAAGACATCTAGAAAGTACATTTACCCTATTTTATAAAAATAGAATATATAACTCATAAGCAGGCAATAATGAATGTGTAGATGCAGCTGAATTGCTATAATATGCTATCATTACAATCAAAATATCTGATGTAAGAATTATTTAGGATTGGTCGGTAAAAAGAATTATAGGTACCATAGAACATTTTCCCTAGGACACTGCATTATGTTTCCAACTTCATCTATTGGGGTGCCCAGAACATGTAAGAAGACTCAAGTTTTAAAAAGTGAGATGCTATCATTAAAATCACAATTTATTGGGCTGCCAGTCTGACATTCTACACTGAATGAACATCATTAAATTGGGGAATGGTTTTACTCAGGAATTGCAATATCTTTTCCAGCCACAAGAGGTCACTGCAACATCAGAGGTTTATATTTTTCAATGGGGAGGAGGGACATTCTTACCTACCAGGTGCCCCTCAGTGGAAAGCCTCACATGCACAGGTTTACATGCACAGGTATATAGAGGAGGGCCAGTGTGCAGAGTTTGACAGTCGGATCACTACCCCCGCCCACACCCCAACCCAGATGGCCAGAAGCACAGCAACCTACCCATTGTGCTGTGTGGTGCAGTCGGATGCAGGGGGAACATATCGCACGGGTTTCGTCACCCGCACGGGCTCAGAGTTTGGAGCAGGGTTAACTCCAAAAGGCCGGGCTGTCTTGTTGAGGGCAGAACTGGGAGTGAAGTTGTATTTGGGGGGCTGAGAAGAAGGGAGTGCATCCTAGACAAAAGACAAAACAACAATGCCCAAGCTGGCATGGCAGGCAGCATGCAAGAGCACCCAATAATCAGGCAGAGCCAGAGGCCATAGTGTCCCAGATGGAAGCCAGGCCATTCAGGACTCTTCTTTGAGCACCAAAGCAATAAATACAAGCTGGCACAGAGCAGCTGTAACATAAGCCAGTGGTCCATCTCTGTCTCTATCTCTATCTGTCTACTCCTAAGCAGGCACTGCCTTGTTCAGCAAATCCCTTCGGGGGCAGAAAGGGCCCCCTCTACGGCTGCCCAGAGGGTGTGCAAGGTAATCAATTGCCTTCCATCCAAACAGCGGAAACAGGACACAGGCACATGCTGAAGTTTTAAGGAGCAAAAACAAACCATGCGTGTCCCTTTATCTACTCTCATCTCATTTCCCTCTTCCACCAATGGACCCGAAAAAATGAATGGGGATCTTCCAGGGCAGCCCTCCCAATGCCTTGGAAAGGCCAGGATCTGACCGTTTGCCTCTCTACTGGGTGAAGCAAAGACGCAATTCAGGGATCAACGTAGCCCTACTTGTAGCTTCAAGTTTATATCCCTGTTTGTCTTTGAGAATTGCGCACAGCTACACCAGGGTAATGCCCATGTCTAATTTCTGATTTTGGGAAGTTCTGAAGTACAATTTAAAAATAAGCTAACGATGAGCAGTAAACCAGAAATTCAGGAAGGGAAAAAAAGGTACTGCATTCTACAGTTCCTTAAACTGCCGCCCTGTATCAGAACATCACATTTATATGAGATTAAAACACCAGATTAATTCTAAGAAAAAGTAGAAGGAGAGGAGAATTTTAATTTATTTATTTATATACTGGTAGCCCTCAACATACAACCATTCATTTAATGGCCGTTCAAAATTAGAACGGCACTGAAAAAAGTGACTTATAACCAGTTTTCACACTTACAACTGTTGTAGCATCCCCATGGTCACGTGATCAGAATTTGGATGCTTGGCAACTGGCATGTATTTATGACAGTTGCACTGTCCTGAAGTCATGTGATCACCATTTCTAACCACCTCAGTTGGCTTTTGACAAGCAAAATCAATGGGGAAAGCCAGATTTGCTTAATGACCAAATGATTCACTTAGCAACTGCAATGTTTCTGCAAGAGATCATAAAATGGGGAAAAACTCACTTAACAATTGCCTCGCTTAGCGATGGAAATGTTGGCCTCAATTGTGTTCATAAGTTGAGGGCTATCTGTATCATATTTAGCAACTGCTCATCTCCCTCATAGAACAACTCTGGGTAGCTTACCAAAATCAGATGCAAAAAAGAAAAAAAAATTAAGCATTTCTACTGATTGCTGAGAAATTCCAATTGGAATTATTCAGAAACTCAGCATGGATGTCCATTTTAGGCTAAGAAGGCTCACTGCATACCTTCGAAGCTGAAGTCCCCTATATCTACTATTCTTTTGGGTATTAAAATAACTATCTGAACAAAGTCAGTTTTGGCTTGGTTGCAAAATGTTTCACAGTCAGAGCTTTCAAAGTGTGGAATATTTTTCACACTTCTACCCAAGCTATATATGGACATTTATTATCCTGCTTTTGAAATACATTTTTGTATCTATGTATTGCAGTTTCCTTTGTAACTTCTAGGAGAGGCTAGGAGATCACCTCCAACCTTATTTCAGAGTTCCCCAAAGAGACAGAGAGAGAGAGGAACAGCTGCACACGCACCTTCTGAGGTCTGCCTAGGAGATTCTGGACTCTGGAAGAGAAAAAAACGTTGTTAACAGAGGCAACTGGCCTAAGAAGTTGAATTCAGCTACACAATTTACAATCAAAGCTTTTTGCAAGTCAGCCTCTCTGCTGCAAGAGTGCTAGGTAGCTGCAGCCATCTGTAACCATGGAGAGCTAAAGCAAATAAGTATAGGCAATCCAGCTCCTTTCACACCGTAAGGCATCTGGAAGGAAGCTTTGGGAGAGAACAGTCATAAGAATTCAGACAGTTCAATGAGTGCATTTGTTTTTGGTTTTTTTCCAGATTGTCTGGAAATTCTTTCAGTGAAGAAATAATATTTCTCCTTTGCATTCTAACCTACTCTCTTTTTAAAAAATGATTGCATCAGTTCAGATCACTCTTCTGCAAATATCACCTTGGGTATTTGCATACTCTATGTACTTCCATACTGCCAAAACAGTAGCAAAGACTCTATAGTCCTCGTTTAACAACTGCCTCGGATAGCGACCATTCAGTTACCACAGTGTTGAAAAAGTAACTTTGCAAGCAATCATTTATGACCTTCATAGGTCTATAAAGCAAAGAAACACTGTAAGCACATTAGTGGTTTCACTTAGCAATTGCTCTGCTTAACAACCAAGTGACTGGTCCCCCTTTGCTAAACAAGGACTGCCTGTACAGGTTAACCTGCTTTTGCAGACTGAAAATAATAGGGGACAAAAGATGAAAGTAAAATAAATCAGGTATATGTGCTTTCCTGTGCTTTTGCTTTCTGGCAGAATCCTGACAAACAGGATTTTTTAAAAAAAGAACGACTACTTTGGATAGTGACAATTGACTGACACACAAGAAACAATGATTTAACTTGAATAAACATAAAAAAAACATTATGGGTAACTTTCTAATAACACATTCTCTACTTCCCTTCCAGATATTTCCCCAACTACTAACCGCAACCTAGATACAATATACATGCTTTACATTAAACATGTAAGGCTATTGCTAGTATCTAGATTCAATTCTTTCATCTATGTTTTTTCATTAATCTCATAACCACCTTCCTAAAAAACTATATTCCAAATGTCTAAATTTGCCCTGCTGTGTAACCTGCAGTCTATATGGAAGTCATTACCGCACACATTTGGTCAGACTTCCATTATGAATATATATTGTCAATTTTGCCATTGCTGCACATTCTCCAATTATGGCCTCCCAATCTGATACCGTCAGCAAAGGCCCCCTTTTCTAACGTTGTGCCAAATTTGTTCTTGCTGTTGTCAGCACATAGTAAATGGTAACATTTTTGTTTATTTTATTTTTCTGGGATTGTACCCAATAAAAATGTTTGTGGTTTCAGTTTAAATTTTATTTTTAGGATTTTTAGAATATTTTGATGTATTGCTTTTCAATACTTTTGAGTTTTTGGCATAACCACCAGATGTGATAAAATGTTCTTTCTTTGTTGTGACATTTCCAGCACTGATTTATCCAACTTGAAAATTATTGATGGAGTCATAAATCATCTGTAAAACATTTTATATCAATTGTCCATTAAATTATAACATGGAGTAAATTTTGTTTCCCCTCTTCCCCCCCACCCCCGCAATAGTTATTGCCATTTTTGTATTACAATTAAGGATTGTTTGAGTTCATGTTATCTTTCTGGAAAAAAAATCCTGTTAGATGACTATTCCTTTTTCCAGATGATAAAAAACATGGTTCTTATCAAGAACACATATATACTGTGGCATACACGTACAGTGCATATTTTATTAATTCTGTATTATCTAGATTTTTATGCAGGGGGAAATCACAGCAACAAGCAAATATTGCACCAATTGGTAAGAGAATTAATAAAGCTGCTGCAGAATTAAGATAGGAAAAAAATTAATTTTGAGGCCAAGTTTATGTTTTAATCCAGAAGATTATTAAAAGAAATATAAAAGTGAAAGCAGTTTTTCTTTTAGGATTATTGGATAAAGATCTTGAAAAAAATAGAGCGTTGTTGTTATATATGTTGATATATATATATGCAAAATATATATATATATATTTTGCAAAAAAAATTATATATGCAAAAAATAGAAACATATGTCAATTTCTGCAATGAAAGAATGGATGGAAAAAGTGATGGAACTGGCAGAGATGACAAAATCAACTGTCCTAATTAAGGGGGGAAAATGTATCTTGTTTTTACCTGGAGACCGCTTCTGGATTTTGTGCTCAAAACAGGGGGGGAAATTGCCTGGGTTTTGATGCTTAGATTAGTTTGTTGTTATAGAATTGGTATTTACTAATTACTAATTATATAAAAGTAAAAAGCTGAGATTGTAACTTTACTTTGTATCTTAACTGAACCGATAGTTTTTTTTCTTTGTTTCCCCCACTTTCCCTATTGTCTTAATTTTTACTTGTATTTTATATTAACATAAACTTCAATCAAATTTATGTTATAAAACAGACAGCAGAAAAATTAAACCCTAAAAGTCACTCTACTAAAGACAGCTAAACTGCTTTTCTGAGACCAGAAAGCCTCTTGGGATAGCATTTCATAATTTTGGCATCATATTTAAGAAATCCATCAGTGATAAGAACAGAGTTTCCAGCACCTATCATAAAGTTCATACAGATAAACTACAATTATAAATGTTTGACTGTTAAGGGTTTTAGAATTCATAGCAAATAACAGGGTAATTCTACTAACTACATTCTGTACCAATTGCAGCTTCCAAGCTATCCTTATAAGGAAATCCAACAACAAACCTTGTGTTCATCCAAAAATAATTTTATTTGCCATGCTTTGGCCAACCCACATTAATTTTGGCTATAACGTTTTTCATGCTATCTGTTTCACAGGTGTGGAACTGAAATAATAAACAATTAACAAGCAAGGCTGTTTTGGCAGGCATTTTCTCTGCCTCTTAACTTTCAGGAAATATCAACCAGCACCACCTTGCTTGTCAATTGTTTATTATTTTAAATCCACACCTGTTTTCACCTAGGAATCCCTTTTGTGTAGCTTGAAATCAACTTGGATACTTTGGCTGAAATCCATGTGAAGTCATGCTATTGCAAGACAGTCAGTCTAAGCCCTTTTCTGCAGGAGAAAATGCACATCTGGAATCAGAGGTACACTGGTTATGCAGGAAACAGTCTACAGGCTGTAAAATTTGCTTAGCAATTCTGGACACTGAGCTGCCACTTTGTTTGGGCTATTATTGTTATTAATATTAAATTTGTACATTGCTTTATCATTCAGATTCTCGGGTGCTTAAAAGGTAAAATGCAACAGTGGACTAATTCAAGCAGCCAGATAGATAGATTTCTCTCCTGTTAATCCTAATGACGCTTTATTTCAGGAACAACTGGAGTCCTAGTTTAAAAATCCAGATGCTCTGATCTAAAACTTTCTACACTGCTTATTACTTTGGTTTAAGTTTTTAAACAGGGAATGTGATGGTTGGGAAGCCCTATGGGGAAAAAATAGAACATGCAGCTTACATTTCCTATCAGTTTGGTGTGACTCAGGAGCCTTTACCTTCAGGATGTAAAATTCAGGCAGGTGGCTGTTTGTTTTATTAAATACCAAAATTAAAATTGGCAAGCAGCTGCTTCCCAAAAGGACTGAGTCTGAATGAAATAAACCTCTGGATGAAACCAAATCATCATTATTCCAACAGGCACATTATGTTCCTAACAGAAAAACCCCAGCATCAGCATAAGAGCTACTTACTTGCTTAAGCTGAGGGAGAGTTTGTCCCCACAGGCACGGATCTTGTTCTGGGCTTCAATGTGGGTCATGGTGCTGGTGCTGTCTCCGTCAATGCTGAGCACCCAGTCCCCAACTCCAACCCCTGCCTGGGCTGCTTTGCCTCCGGGGGTGAGCTGCAAGGAAAGAAAAAGTTATTCCCAACATGAAGACATCATTAATGGAACCTATCATAAAAATCCTTCCAATGCTATTAACAGTAACAGAGTTGGAAGGGATGTTGGAGGTCATCCAGTCCAGCCCCTTGCTCATGCAGGAGACCTGTACGAGGGATTCGAACCACCAACCTTTCTGATCACAAGCTCAGTGTCTTAGCCACTGAGCCACCTATTTATTGATTCAATAATATTCAAAAATAAATAATAAACAAAGGAGAAATGGGAGCGGTCACAACTCTTGTTTTTCTTATACTTTTTTTGCTAAATAACATGCGTAGTAAATGTATTTATTCCCAAAGAAGTTTCTTAAAAGATAATAGTGCATGGAAGCAGTGTGATATAGCAAGCTAAGGGGCACACCTGAATGGTGGCCATCAGGGGTGGGTTCTACTTACCTTTACTACCGGTTTGTAACGGGGTCGCGCGCGTGCTCTTCTGCGCATGCGCAGAAGCATTCTGATGACGTCGGGGTCGGTGGGCGGAGCCTCCCACCAGTTTTACTACCTGTTCTATAGAGCCAGTGCGAACCAGGGGCAACCCACCACTGGTGGCCACCCATACCTTTGCTAAATCATATTTCTCACAGTCTTCCCAATCTCAGAGTAGTCAAGCAAAATATGCACTTAAAAAGAGTTTGTGTTCACTACAGAACACCTATTTTCTTTATTACCAAAAGACTGGTTTCTATTTTCAGGCAGATCCTTTTTAAGTTTCAATAAACAGGTGATTTTGTAATAAACTAAGCCGGAGATGCTTCTGCTATTGGCCCTGTCTTCCTGCTCATTAAACTCTAGTCTAGAGCTACTCCTTCAATGTTTATAAGTAAGATGGATTGATGCTATCTTTCAGCAAGAAGGCAAGCCACTAACACCAAAAAGCAAACCACTCAAATAGTCCAAAGATTTACTCATCATCAAGTTGTGTCTCCAAAACTTGTGTTGCTATTGTTTTATACTGCACTGGGAAGACCACAGGTGGAATACTATGTTCTGGTCACCACGATACAAAAAAGACTCTAGAAAGAGTACAGAGAAGAGCAACAAAGATGGGGACTGGAGGCTAAACCATATGATGAAGGGTTGTGGAAACTGGGAATGTCTAGTCCAGAGGTCTCCTAACTACGGCCTGCAGGCTACATCCGGTCCTCCAAAAGGTTCCTTCCGGCCCACCCACCCACCTCCTCCCATGTGCTCTGCTCTGCTCTTTTCCAAATAGCACAGGGAGAGAAGGCAGGGCTGTATTCACCACTGTTTGGAAAGAAAGGTAGGATTCCTTGCGTTTCTCCGACAGAAGTGGGGGGGGGGGTTTATCACATTGAGCAAAATAAAACACATTTATTCAATTAAATTTTATTCACTCATTTGTAAAATTGATTTCCCCCCCTCCCCCAACAATTGAATGTTTGCAAAATGCCCAATGTGGTCCTCGGACTGAAAAGTTTGAAGACCCCTGGCCTAGTCTAATGAAAGGAAGGCGTAGGGATGTCATGATAGTAGTCTTCTAGTATTTGAAGGTCTGTCACAGAGAAGAGGGGGTCAACCTATTCTCCAAAGGTATAAGTAGAGGTGCAGGTATAGGGTCACCTCCTAGAGCAGGGGGTTGAACTAGAAAACCCCCAAAGTTCCTTCCAACTCTGTTATTCTGTAAACTTAAATATTACAGTACTGCCAGTGCCAGACTGAGCTATCTCTATGTATTGTAGCAGATGTGTCCATGCCGAGGAGAAATAAGTGTAAGTGGACTAAAGGTTTTCTCTGTCATGTTTCTTTTATTATGGAGGAATAGTATTGCCTAGTATTTTTTCTTTCATTAAAAAAAACAATAAAAACAAACACGCAAACAATACAGTCCTCATAGCTAGTCTCATTCTGCTCAGGGCATTGAAATAAAAACAGTTTCAGACCTGGAATCTGATAAATCCTTTGATGTCTTTGAGGCTTCAGGCAGCTCAGAAAGCAATCTTTTTTTTTTTCCCATTAAAATCTCCCTACCACAATATCCTAAGATGCAAAGGGTGCTAAGATTGCCTTCCTGCCTACAGCTTATTCAAGAGGGTGTTGGTCTATCCTGCCTAATCATAATAAATACAGAATAGGTTTCCTTTTCTTTCGGCACTCCATTCTTTGATATCTGAGTATGTTCCATACTAAATCTTTTTTGGCCAAATGTGTAAATATGCAGCTTCGTTTCCAAGAGACTTAGCAAAGGATAACAAACATCTTACCACTTTATTTTCCTCTATTCTTTCTTTTTCTCCCTTTGACCCTTTCTTTGATTTTTAGGAAAGTATTTTTAACTGAATCTTAAGCTAAATTGTACAGTGGTGAGTCTGTGGCAAGCCTCTACTACCGGTATGCTACCCTGGCATGCCTAATGGGGCAGTGAAAAGCAAGCTGGCTTTGTCCACAATGAAGGGAGAACTCTAACTATAGTACTTACTAGCAATCCTAAGAAGAAAATTATTCTGGGCTTTAGGCCAGGATTTAAAGAGAAAGGGCATTACATTAATGTGTGTAACTGGCCTACCTTAAGTGGGAGTTGTAGTCATGGTTTCATCACATTGGTTTTTGTAGAATTTTTCAGGGAAGCTTTACAAGATGGCTTATCAAGCCGATTTTTATAAAAACCAAAAAATGCAAGTCAATATAAGCAACCAAAGCCGCATAGAAATGGATTAAAAATGAATCTGTACAAGATGAGAGCTAAAAAAGAGGTAAACTGGGCGAGCCAGGCTGCTACCACTGTAACATCTATACAGATGTAGAGATTTTGGTAGGTGCTAAATTTTTAATTCCTGCATCATAAGTGTTCTGGCACATCAGCAGCCTGTGAAGATTGTAGCTGATTCCGACAACAAGGAGATTGGTGTGGTGCTGCGAGTCGGACAGTGAGGAGGCTGGAGAAGATGTGGTGCCAGAGGCAGGGATTCAGCCAGGGCCTTCAGAACCTCCAGAACCTCCTTTAAGTGAAGAGGACGAATAGGAGGAGCGTCTTCTCAATGCACAGGCGCGCAGAGATGCCAAAAGGCAGGAGTGGCTCCTCAGGAGGAGGTCTCCTAAGGCTTGGGACTAATTGGCCACTCCCTTAGCCTATTTAAGAAGGAACGCCGCTTGCAACAAGCTGTAGAGAACAACTTTAGTTTACTCTCCTTTGCGTCTGGATTCTCTGCAAAATTGCTTCTGGGCTTTCTGCCAACTCTAGTTAAGACTGTGATTACCTTATCTTAGAATTCTGGTAGGATGTTAAGACAGTTCATTAACAGCCTTTAATTGATAAAGACTAAGTTATTTGAGTAAAATAAGCTTTGTATAGAGTTTGTGTGTGCTGCATTCTTTGGGGTTCATAGCTGGGGCAGAACAATAAGCTGAAACCTGCAGAAATGCCTTCAATGATCGCTGGCAACCCCAGCAGGTTCTCCATCATCTTTTGCAGCAGTCAGGTTATCTAGTAGAGCCATTGCAAAAAATAAAAAAAAATTGAGCAACCAATGCAGAGTGCTTGAGCAATAAAGCACATTCTTCGGAAAACCTCAAGGCCTGTGGGAGTTTAGACTTGCTGATGAATGCAGCAGATCAGACAGAACAACCTCAGCAGAGTTGAGCAGGGGCCAGCTGCTGATCCAAAGCGCACTCCTTAAGGCCTTCAAATTGGAGCACGTCAATTGTCAGCCAAGTGGCAGAGATGGTGCACCTGCTGTTATTTGTGACATTCAGTTATTAAAGCCAGGTAAGTCAGAAAGCCTTTGCCATCTAGTAACACGCCTCCCCGTAAAATATTTGGCTTCATATTCCCTTTGCTTCTATTTGCATCATTCCCAAATTTAGCAGCTGTGTGCTCACATACACAAACGGTCCTTTGAGGACAGCCCAATTAAGACTACCCGAACAAGCTGACAAAATTCCTCACCTTCTGAACACTGGAATACAGGAACCTAATTCCACAAAGAATACTGAATTTAAAAAAAAAAAAAAACTATTGGTGCATTAAATATTAATTGAAAACAGAAGGAGGAAGAAATAAAAATATTTCTTTCATTTTCAGACTGGACTTGGCTCTCTCCTCTTTGCTTTCTTTCTGCCTTAATTAGATGTATTTACACATTACCTTTTTAGAAATGAAAACAACAATCATATTCAGAAAACAGCTATCTGTACACCTAAGTCACACTATTGTAAACAATTTGAAATGTGGCCTTCACACGATGCTCTGAAAAACAATTTTGCTTGCAGAATCGGCAGCCTAAACCTCTAACAGAAGAATAAAGTCTCTTTCCACTTTCCCTGCAAGATTGGAATCCTCTGTGGAAATCTGGAAGCCCAAACGAAAGACATTCAAAATTAGAGCTGGGTTGGTTACTGGTTTGTTTGCTTGGTTATTTTTCCTTCCCCATCTTAAACTAAAAAAGCAGAAATAAAGCACGTGTACCTGCCTATTGTAATAAGTAAACATTCCTGTGATTACAGAATGTCCATTTACAAAAGTTGTTTTAAAATTCAAAAATTTGCAGGAGAAACCTGGCAACCCTGTACCAACAACTGCAGTTTTCTAAAACACCAACAGTTATGATCATGTTGAGAGCACCTAAAGTATGCTACCTCCATCCTAAATGATCACACAAGGAGCTGGAATACCTTTCCCTCTGCTTTCTGAGTACTGCCACAGCCTCCTGAATTAGGCAAAAGGCACACTTCTGACCACAGCAAATGTGGCACTTCCTGAAAGCACAATAACATTCTCCTACTCTTATTGCCTTCCAACTGATTTTGACGGGTCCGTCCTCTGATATTGTGCATAACAACTGATAGACCATGTTCATTTGATAGTCGCATCTGGCATGAATTCATCTAAATATCACATCTTGTGGGAATGAATCCCACCATTCGGTGTTGTATCCATAGCAGGTATGCACAAACAGAGCTGCGTGCTCCAAGAAGGCGAAATCACAGGCATTGGATCTT